TCAGAGCTGCGGAGAGTCTCAGTTTCTCTGGCTGAACATTCAGAATAATGTGGGTCAGAGAAACTGATCAGACATGATTCACTATGATGTAGAGCAGAGGAGAGGAATCATGTGTGTTAACAGCAGGAAGAGGAGTGTGATGAAAAGAAGGAGGAGCAGCATTCCTCCACTGCTGTATGGAAACACATGCCATCCAACATGCTAACACACACATTCAGTGCCATCATCTAGATGTGCCAACAGTGATGATAAACTCACCGACTCTTCCTGTTACCAGTCAGCTGACTTATACACAGATTTGATTGATCTGCAGTAATCTTGTATTTGTTGGTGCATCTCCTGCCCACCACAGCATGTACACTACTCTTACTAACAGTCACACAGTCTGATGCGTCATTGTTGATCTGACCACATGTGCGATACTACAGCTGTCTGTGATGAAGGGTCAAAGGTCAGGGAGACAGGTGGACGGTTTAGTGCCTCACTCAATGACACATTCTCAGGGAGAAGATGACTCAGGTCTCTGTGTGGTTGGGAAAACCCTCTGACTGTGGTGAAACTCACTTTAATCATCCTGTGATGATCATTTTTAGAAGATCAGTGTGTGTGTATGTATGTGTGTGTCATGTAGCAGACAGTGTGTGGGTTTGTTTGATAACAGGGCTCTGCTGAAACTGACAGCAGTGTCTGAAATATGAGACATCTGCTGTGTGTGTGTGTGTGTGTGTGTGTGTGTGTGTGTGTGTTAAAGATTGACAAAGATTTGTAGTGTTGCCGTCAGGCAGGTTTAAGGAGGCTATTTTAAGGTGGTTTGATTCAGTTTCAGTGCAGTGACGTGAGGTGAAGTCAGTAACAGGGTAGGCACTGTGTTACAAAAGTTAGATAAAACCTAGTAAAGTGTAGTAAACACACACCAGTCAATAGCAAGCAAGTTCTCATCAGAGATGACACAGGAATCACATACAAAACAACTGGTTCTGAAATGTAACTACTGAGCACCAGTAGTCGATATTCAGCATCAGAATGAGACCACCTTTGTCCTTTATTACGGAACAGAGACCAACTATGTTTCTGTCTTGCATTCAGTCAGCAGCAATAAAATACAATGGTCAATTTCATATGAAGCCAAACATATATGTACACTGACTCACCAATCTGTAAATCTACGCTGCTTTAAGATAACATTCATCTGTTGATCTTTCCTGGTGAAAAAAACTCATCCTTACGGACGAGTTAGCAGCACAGTTGCTGATTGCTAGCACAGCCACATAGACAATCTTTTCTTTTGTATCAGTCTGTTTCAAACATTCTTCTGTCTTCTTTGGTGGTATAGGTTTAATGCAGGCTGAGATCGTCCTCCCTCCCGCTATTATTTCCTTTTTGCTTTGAAAATCCGATTTAGCAAAATCGCAGTTCTGAGATGTCCACTGCAGCCGCCGTTATGAACTTAATGTTGACATACGTTGGCTACAGTGAGTTCTGGTGTCGTGGCTTTCAAATCCAACTGCGCACATTTCCAGTGTAGAAGTCAATTATACCTATCATATATAACAATTAACAGTTTTGGCACATTTGTGTAAAAAGTTAAAGTAAAAGAGCTCTGGTTTTTTATGTTAATGTTGTAAAATACGGGATCAAAGGGCGCAGGCGAAACATGTTCTGTTGGCTTGCATTCCCATTGAATGGGCATTGAAAGCACTGCCTTTCTCCTGATTATTTTTGTACTCAATGAATCAATACATTTCTCATTGCAATGTTTAAACTATTGAATATCCTTGTAATTAACTAAATGAAAAATAGAAATCGCAAGAATAAACAGTAAGTGTATTGTATAAAATATTATTGGTTTAGAAAATGTGATTTATAAGGTAGCCACAGGGAGCACTGCCTCCCTGATCGCGTGTCACTGTTTCTGTATGTACGTGTGTGTGTGTGTGTGTGTGTGTGTGTGTGTGTGGTCTGTGTGTGTGTCTGTGTTTAAGGTTGACAAAGATTTGTTCTGTTACTGCCAGGCTGTCTTAAAAGAAGCTATTTTTGTGTGTGTGGAGACAAATACTTGTGTTTGTGCATGTGTTTGTGTGTGACGTGTATGTGCTTTATATCCACAGACAACAAAGGGGTCATCACTTCCCTTTAAACCGTGATTGTTTGTATGTGTGATGGCTGTAAACACGGCACCTCTTTACGTTAGTGTGGCATTGTGTGTGTGTGTGTGTGTGTGTGTGTGTGTGTTTGACTGTCAGCTGTATTTCCCACTTCCTCATGTGACTCACCTTGTGACATCATGTCGTGACATCAGTGTCTATGGGAGGCCGAGGTGGTCAAAAGGCAGACAGAGTGCCTCCCTCTCAGTTTCTCTGGTTTGCAGTGGGTCCAACTTTTTCTCTTTTTTTTCTTTTTTGTTGTTTTTCTGTGGATCAACCTGAAGCTGTAAACATGTTTGTGTGCCTCTGCTAAGGTAAGAGATGGAGAACTTATCAGCTTTAGGTATTTAGATTTAAATTGGGGTGTTCTTAAAACTGATTTTGTAGAGTGAATCTTTAAGGTGAACTTTCACTCTCTTCATCTCAAACATTTTTGCTTCTGATAAAACTCCCTTAGAATATTTTTTTCTTTTTGTTTCTCTACTCATTTTTGGTCTGCTTAAACCATTTTTGTTATATTTTTGTTATTTTTGCATTGTACAATACAGTTCATTTCTCTACTTAAACTGAAACTTAAAACTTCAGTGAGAAGCCATTTTTTCTCTCCCTGGTGACTGAAATAAATCTAAAGTGTTGAAACTGATGTACTGTTATATCTTAATGTTGATGCTCTTCTTTGCTCATCATGATTAGGACGCATTCAAAAACTCTTTTGTTTGAATTGCAGTTTGCACTTTTCCACCCTCCTGTGGGATCAAAGTGTTGTGTGTGTGATGCTATCACACCCCTGCAAACAGAGCAGCTGCTGATCCGAGCTTGGCTCGGTGGGAGGTTGCACCATCGATGCTGTAAACTGTTCACACTTTTCTGAAGTTGTGTGCGAAAAACTCCAATCTGTGAAAAGAGACACAGTGAGAACTGAGTTTGGTCATTTGAATTTTGCTGATTGGTGATTGAACTCACAGAGACAAGCTTTTTATGTTTTTTTTTATTGATCTTACAGGTCTTTTGCTTTGCACTGGTTTTCCAATAAAGATCATGTCGAGTTGGACTCAAACAGTTGTATGATGTCTTCTACAGCTCTAGAGGAGCTTCATCAATTCTGGGAAAATAACCCTGATGTTGTCAGAGGTTATCTCAGCTGATGAAAGATGCTATTATGTTGCGTTATGTTTTATGGAGCTTGACCCACAATTGGCCCCAAACGTCAGGATATCTCAGGCTATTTTCAAACCTTTAGTTTGTTTGCCGAGTCTGATTCAACCAGATTAACAACGAAGGTTTGAAACCCACATCAGTCACAGCTGTTCACTGTTTATGTCTTTCATCTTTGTGGAAGTGCCATAGATCAAATTACTGGAGTGCTTCATTCAAAAGGAGTTTGTTTTGGTGTGAACAATCAGGGGGATTTGATCTGGGATGTTCATGGCAAAGCAACATATTTTACAAATACTGTGATTTTACATGAAGAGACGCTCATGAATACCAGAATAGAGATGGCACTGCTGGCTGATGAATCTTGGGAAATAATAAATTAATAAATCTAATAAATTCAGACGAGTGATGAAGTGGAGCTGGTTACCTGTTATTATTGAAGACACCTTAATTTGGCAATTTTTTACATCTCAGAGATACTTAAGAAACGCAATGTTTATTTGCTTTCAGTGTTGGCTTTTAACTCTTGAATTATTTTTATTTTTGTCGTAGTTAATTATTAAGTTGACTTTGTTGTTGAATATGAAGTAATGTTTCAGGGATTGTCCTAATATAACAAAGTATGAATTTAGGTAGAGGCCAAGAACAAACATTACAACACCAAGCAGTATTTTAAAATGAGACTAGCTGCTGAAAACACCTGCAGAGAACTGACACTGTCAGATAAAATATTCTTGATTAATAAGATTCTTAATGGGGATCAATAGGTCACTGATGAATCATCAACACCCTTGGAGTCTTTGTGTGTGTGTGTGTGTGTGTGTGTGTGTGTGTGTGTGTGTGTGCGTGTGTGTGTGTTTGTGTGTGTGTAGCTCTGACCCAGATAAACTCTCCTCATTCCTTGTGGGTCTTTGGGCAGGTTAGCTTGTAGGGTGAGATTGAGTGTATTTTTATGTGAGGGTGTTGTGGCGAAACCTGTCATTAAAATGTCCCTCTTTGCCTCTTGGCTGCATTTGCAGGTTGTACTTACTCAACAAAGTGTGTGTGTGTGTGTGTGTGTGTGTGTGTGTTGACTTATGACTAAGTGCTGTGAGAAGGAAAATAGCAACTCTCTGCCTGGTCAAGAGATGACACACACACACACACACACACACACACACACATCATGGTTTAGTGAGTGTAATGTTTGTAGATCAAACAGACCACTCAGTGAGCGAATGGAAACTATATTTATTTTATTTTATTTATTTATTTATTTATTTCATGTCTGTCTGTCTGTCTGTCTTTATTTATTCATTTATTCAGCTTGGACAAGAAGTTTTAGACAGAAAAAATGGATTTTGCCTTTTATTTTGATTTCTTAATATTTTTACAGCAGACTAAATCAACATCACTAAAGGTATTCCACACAGGATTGTGAGTTACTGTTTGTGAACATGCTTGCAGGCAAAAGTCAAAGTAAACACCAACCACAGATTTATTCTCGTTTGGTGTTTCACCTCGTTATATTCAGCTTTCTTCTATTTTCTGTTTTTGTAAATTGAGCGTTGTGGGTTTTTTTACCGTTATTGACACAAAATCATTTCAAAATAAAGTCATTTGAAATGTCTACCTTGGGTTCTTGTGTCCCTGTGATTGGTTGATGATGTTCCCGCCGCTCACAGTGCCTCCTTTGTAAATGGTGTGTTTTTTCCTGTGCAGGAGCGGTTGGCTGCAGCCTAGCTGAAGATGTCTGATAATGGGGAGGTCGAGGACAAGCCTCCAGCTCCGCCCATGAGGAACACCAGCACCATGATTGGCTCCTGCAACAAGGACCCCGCCCCCCTCAACCACGGCTCCAAGCCCCTCCCGCCAAACCCAGAGGACAAGAAGAAGAAAGACCGCTCGATCCGATTCATCCTAACAGGAGGAGGCGATAAGAGTGAGTACCGAGGTCTCATGAATGTAACTTTATTCATGTATTAATTTTTTTCTATTGCCAAGGTGAACAGGTTGCAATGTAACTTAAAAACTGAGACTTTCCATCTGTGGACTGATTTTCTATATTGAGGACTTGGGGCGAATTTTACAAGAAATTTATAGGGCTTGTGTCACTGTCATTTATGTGCCTCTCGCCTCTCTTGTGTGACACTAGGTAATGTCGGCATAGAAATGGGGCTGCTGACATCAACAAATAACCAGACACCAGCACCAATCACAACAGAATCCACACACACCGTGTTTCCATCACCAGCTCACCGTGACCACCACTGCCTCCATCAGTTAGTTTGTTTGTGTTATTGTGTGGCTTAGGTGTTTAAATGGGTTAGTTCAGATTCACCAAAGTCATACAATAACAAACAAACTACCCGATGAAGGCAACGGTAGACCAGTAACTCCCGTGTTCTGCGAGGCTAAATTACTGTTTTAGTCAAAAGAAGTCTGGCTTTGAAGAGATCATAGGTAATAACTTCAGTTCCGTGTTGGAACGGGCTGTACGTCAATGTAAGCGGTGAAAATATTCTAATTGCAGTATACACTTAGGTCCCGTTTATACGACAATGATTTCAACTGAAAATGGCAAACTTTAGTTGTGTTTTGGCCGATCATTTACATGGAAGCGGCGTTTTGGGTGCCTGAAAACGCAGCGTTTTGAAAGCAGGTTCCAGAGTGCAATTTTTTGGAAACGATACCGTCTCCATTGTCATGTAAACTTGCAATATGCAGTTCCTCTGAAAACGGAGACTTTTAGCACATGCGCATTACGCTTCCAGTCACTAGGCATGCGCGAGAAAGTCGACCATCACAACAACAATGGCGGACTCCCAAGCTCTGCCTGTGCTGCTCACCCTACTGAATTTATCAACGCTTCCCCATCATAGTGTAGATTTATTATTATCTAGCAACTCCACTTCGTCGTCTGTCCAGACAAACGTTCGTGCGGTTACCATTTTGTTTGTTTATACATCACCACTCTGTAGAAGGAAGCGTAAGTGTCACACCGCCAACTACTGGCCTGGCATGTATACTGCAGCGTTTTTGATCATTTTTGCGGATCCGTGTACACGGCGATTGCTATCTTCAACATAACCAGTAATATTTCTCTGTCAGGTACCATGTTTTCCTCTGAAGTACAAGTATACAGTGGCTTTTCTGTTGTTGTTTTGTTTGTTTGTTTGTTTGTTTTTTTTTAAAGGATGCTTTGGGGGCCTTTTGTAAGTTATTGTAAGGTATGATGAGTTAGAATAGTAAATCAATATTCTTCTTATCTAAAAATCATAAAAAATCTATAACTGTTGGGCCCTTTTAGTTGGGGACCTAATGGTAAAGTCCAACCCCTGATTATTATGATTACTCTCTTATTTTCTCATACAGGGTTCACCTGCTGTTCTCTGCACCCTCAATCTAACTAATCTAGACTTGTGCAGGTGGTGTAGAAATGCAGAAAGTCTACTTTGGAATTCCTTTTTTTTTCTGGGAAAGCATCCTCAGACCCCCCTCTTTGTCTTTGATTGTCTTTCTTTGTCCCCATTCTTCCTGTATTTTATTTTCATTTTCATTTTCCTCTGGGTCCTCTCTATTTCCTAAATTTCTCTCTTGTTTTTCCCTCTCTGTTTTCACTCTGTATTTCTCCCTTATTTCTCTCAAGATTCAACACTTTTCCATGAATTTTAATGAACTTGGACCTCTTTGTGCCCCATATTTAAGGGTGTTTTTAAAACGATGTCTTTTAGGATATTCTGTTACAGTTGTTTTAATTATTGAAATGTTACAACCAGCATCTTAGCTACTGTTAGAGACCTAAGTTAGGAATCTTTTTTCACTCGAACTTTTTTCAAAAGGGGAATTTATCATTTTATAATTGATTTGATTCTGAAATATAGCAATCTAATTATTAGAATCTGTCTTGTTTGTTTGGGTTTCCTGAGACAATTACTTTATCCTTTTTTTGTTTTTCCTTCAGCCTATAAGAAGAAGGAGCGTCCAGAGATTTCCCTGCCATCAGATTTTGAACACACCATCCATGTCGGCTTTGATGCTGTTACCGGGGAGTTTACTGTAAGTGTGTGTGTGGTGTTGTGTGGTTGTTACCCTTTTGTGTAGTCACGCTCTGGATTTACCGAACGCAACCGCAGTGTGCGTCTGTGGTGTGCATTTGTGCATGTGGTGTGTTTACATCACTTTTTAATTGCTTACCAAAGGACCCATGTTCGTTGTTGCGTGCGAGTGAGTATAGAAATGTGTGTGTGTGTGTGTGTTTGGTACACACACACTTGGCAAATGAACCTTTTTTAAATAATCACATTAGACAAAGACGCCTTGTTTAGCTGACTCACTTGATCCGCCTGTCCAGGCTCTTTTAGCTGGAAGTTAAACTGTGTGTGTGTGCGTGTGTGCGTGCGTGCGTGCGTGCGTGCGTGCGTGCGTGCGTGCGTGCGTGTGCGTGCTACCCTTCCTTTTCTGTAATGGAGGACATAGTTTCTTCTTCTCACTCATACACACATCTACTGTATATGCACATAAACATTTGTTACATAAACATTTGTATTTACTCAAATTAACACAACCTAAATATAATTCAGCGGGTAAACAACGGTAGAGCAGTGCACAGAGACGGTAGATGGATGGATAAAATGATGGTGTAACATTAAGGAAAGATGAGACCTGAATAGAGTGGAGTGATGGAGGGATGGAGCAGGAAGTAGAGGAGTGTGAGTGATGGACTGACCCGGACAGACGACAAAGAGAGAGTTGGAAAACATGGAGATGTGACCCAGTTATGTGACTGAAGTACAAATATGACAAGACTGCCTCGTTTGGACGTCAAAGGAAGCCTGTGTGTGTGTGTTTGTGTGTGTGTGTGTGTGTGTGTGTGTGTCTTCCTTTCTGCCAAATTTTGTGGTATTGTCTGAAGCTCACTGTGCATCATGAAGCCATGAAAACTTGTGACACGGCTCATCAGTAGGTAAAAAAAAAAGTGCCTACGGAATAAAAGATAAAAGTAAAACTGTGTGTGTGCGTGCGTGCGTGCGTGCGTGCGTGCGTGTGTGTGTGTAGGGTATGCCGGAGCAGTGGGCCCGGCTCCTGCAGACGTCCAACATCACCAAACTGGAGCAGAAGAAGAACCCTCAGGCTGTCCTCGATGTTTTAAAGTTCTATGACTCAAAAGAAACGGCCAACAGCCAGAAATACATGAGTTTTACAGGTACACACAAATACTACACACGATGCGACGCACACAACCACACAAACATGTGCATGTCTGGGTCTTCCTGCTTGTTGTTTTTTCTTATATTTTTTTTGTGTGTTTTTCCGTGCAGATAAAAATGTAGATGCCTACAGCTCCTCTACCACAACGGTAAGACCACTCAACAGTTACAACTGTCCTGTGTCCCTCATACAGCCATATATAGCCACGTTTTCACCAAAAACTTTAAGTGTAGTACCTTTATTACCATGCGTAACCCATATGGACATGTAGCTAGACCAGGGGTCAGCAACCTTGGCATGCCGTAGCTTGACTGATGGCAAATTAGCAATAAGTATGCAAGAGTTTTTGAAATGTATTATCTTTCATGAGCAGCACTGTTGAAATATATAATAATAATAATAATAATAATGATAATAATAATACATATATATCAAAGCCTACCGCTCAGTTATGCATTGTACGTGTGCAAGAGACAATAAAAACAAATGTAATGGTCAAAGTTGTCACATTTACATTTAAGGTGTGTTGATAGATTCACATCATCAACGCATTCATTGAGTAACATACATGAAAACATTACACCTTAAAATTTGCTGGAAGCTGCTGGCAGTCAGTTCAGTGAATTTGATTATTTTCTCTCAGTCTATAGCTGCTGATTACCAGGAAAGGTGAAGAGACAGCAAATCATCCTTTCATTTTTTCATTATAGTTTACAAATGTTTATAAAACACAATACTACAATGGTATGAATAGTGGTTACATAACCTTAGAAAACCAGCTACAACTCACCCCTGAGCAAGAGTGTCAACTCTCTGTTGACCGTATAACATACTGCAGTGTATGAAGCTCCACCTTTTAGCATTGGATTAGTGTGCTAGATACCTCAACAGAGGGGTGATGAAAAGTGGAAACGGTAAGGAACAATTTTGTTGGTGCCATCCACAACTTCTAACCTTAGAATTGCAAAAGAACCACTCTAATGTTAACCAAACTGAACTTAACTGAATCAGACTCAGAAATAAGGTTTGTGACTGAGATGGCGTGTATGTGAACTAGGGATGAGAATATTTTTGACCGGTTTTACATGTTGGTCTGTAGGTTAATTATGCTACTCAGTTTTCTGTGCTGCACACCAAATGGGTCGGGAGGGAGCTGCTAACAGCATTGCTCATATGTCGATTCCCGCTAGTAACATTGTTCTGACCCAGCAGTGTTACTGTGGAAATATTGTGCCTACCCTTTGGTCTCCCCCCATGTTGCCCTGGTGAATAAGCGGCTAAATTTTGAGGGGTCCACTTGTCTGTTGTTTCCTCTCCTCCTGTGAGGTGGTTTGTAGCAGCTGAGAGTGAGGCAGAGGAAACACTGTGATTCCAGGCTCAAGCTAACATTAACTACATAAACATGGGCCTATATCTGGGTAGCAGAAGGTTGAACTATTGGCAAAATCTTCACTCCATATTTGAAACGCTTTGCCCATATTGACAGGTGGGGTTTTTTTTGTTGTTGTTGTTGTTGTTGTTGTTGGACTCTCCTTTTGAGAAGGCTGTCTTCCTTTATTAGGTTGCGTTTCAGGGTACACAATTTTTGCCATTGCTGAAATAGCAACTCTCTCTGCAGAACTTTCCGCCATAGAATCAGGCTTTTACTGAAGGGATGCGCACATTGATCTGCATTTGTAGAACAGCCACAAGGAATGGCCTCTTCTGAAACGACCTGTCATTGGCTAAAGTCTCCCATCAGGGGCTAGATTTTCTAAAGCCTGAAAACACAGCCAGGAGGAGGTGCAGAAGTCTAGTTTTCTCTCAGTTCACTTGAATTACAGTATCCTCAAAATTTAATATGGGAGTTTGCACAGTGATGCCATAATTTAACCGCCTACCTCAGCTTTAAAGGACACAAGCATGAAACGTCCAGCTTGGCAGTGAAAATGTAAAAATGCATGAATAAAAATTAAACATCATAGAACTGCCTTGAACTAAATTATCTATAGTTTACTGAATCAACTGTAAAGAGTCAATAATTAGATTATTAAAATGTTATTAAAACTAATATACATTATTATCAGAAAATTAAAACTAAATTAGATGTTAAGATAAACCCTTTGTCAAAAATGAATAGTAAATCATGTCTGGAGTCCAGTGGGTGTCACAGAGTGCTCCACATTACAAACATCAGTTTTTAGCATCCATGTTAATAAAGACATCGCTAATTTTATGTCAGAAGACACGTACAGGCTAAAGTTTGGGGGTAAACAGGGTTGAGGGTAAATTCCAGAGGAGACTATCTGGCATGGAATTGGAACCTGGATGTCATCTGTCAGGGTGACAAGCAATGAAAGGATTAGGAGAGGAAGGAGGGAGAGCTGCTACAGGGTGAGATGATGAGAAGATTAAAAGGAGTGGAGGAGATGAGGTGTAATCTACCATTTGACAGACCAGAGAGGAGAGAGAGGAACTGATGGAGTGAGATGAGAATACATTTGGAAGAGAGTAGAGTGTAAAAAGAAGTGGGTGAGGTTGAAGACATCGTGTTAAGGTGCAGATTGTGTTTTCTGAAACTGTTTTGTGTCTGTGGTGTTTAGGTTTGATGCTGGTGTTGTTTCTGTCTGACCTCTAGGTTGATTGTTGTTCAGTTCCCTCTTTATTTATCTGGGTCTTTCACACTAAGCAAAATTATACTGTACTTACTGTTTTGGTTTTGCTCCCACTTTTCATCAGTTAAAGAAAAACATATGAAGTTTTGTTCACAAATTTGTTAAAAGCCTGTTAGTGAGCTTATTGCCAACATTATCCGTATTCCATCCACCTGACAGGTGTGGTATATCAAGATGCTGATTAAGCAGCATCAGTACTACACAGGTGTGTCTTGGGGTAGTCACAGTAAAAGGTCACTCTAAAAGCTGCAGAGAAGATGCAGGAACGGTAAGGAGCGATTCTGTTGGTACCAACTACAACTTTTCGACATGAAACCGCAAAAAGAACCGTTCTAATGTTAACCAAACTGAACTGAACTGAATCGGACTGCTTGGTAGAAACAAGGCTTATGACTGAGATGGCATGTATGTGAACTAGGGATGAGAATATTTTTTTACCAGTTTTACATGTTGGTCTGTAGGTTGATTATGCTACTCTTCAGTTTTCTGTGCTGCACACCAACTGGGTCGGTTGGGAGCAGCTAACCGCATCACTCATCACTCATGTGTAACCACACCAGCTCAGGACCTCCACATTGAGCTCCATCACCTACAAGGTCATCTAAGACAAGCCACCTGAACAGCTGATGCAACAATTGGTTTGCACAACCAAGGAATTTTTGCACAAACTGTCAGAAACCATCTCAGAGAAGTTCATCTGCATGTCCATCATCCTCAGCAGGGTCCTGCAGGTGAAGACACTGGATGCAGTGGTCTTGAGCTGGTGTGGTTACACATTGTCTGAGGTTGGATTTACTACCAGCGCTTAGTATGCTATTTACAGAGATAGCACTGGCGATCTGAACCAGTCAGTGGCAAAAAAAGCACTTTTAATGCGCAAACTTATACGGGACGCATTTGCCCCCGTTACTGTTTTAGCTCGTTTTGCGGCTGCCGGCTGCATCCGCCTCCCTCAATACTGAACCAGTTTTAGGACGAGTTGTACCTATGAATCATACGAACACATGCACATGGGGAAATAGGGCCCAGGTTGAAAAATACCAAAGTTATCCTTTAAACCCGTGAAAAATGTGAGCAAAACCAAAACTTTTGTGTATAATATGCAGTGGTGGAAGAAGTATTCAGATCCTCTACTGTAGTTAAGGTTCGAATCCCACACTGTGAAAATAACCTGTTACAAGTAAAAGTCCTGCATTCAAAACCTTAAATTATTATTATTATTACTGAGTATTAATGTAACTACTGCATTGATGTGTAGGTTGCATTTTACTGCTGTAGATGTTTATGATCTACACCTAGCTTTCATGTAGATATTAGAGAATCCTTATATGTACTTATACAGTATGTTCTAGTTTAAAATGATACAGGTATTGTTCCTGCTATGCGCAAGTGCACACTTGTTGGCCAGTTGCATTTCCAATACAGGACCAACTGTATTGCAGGACCACACACACACACACACACACACACACACACACAGGAAGCTTTGTCTCAGCCGCAGTGCAAATGTCTGGAAGGTGCCTTTAAACAAAACTATGAAGGTGAGAATAAACAGAAGGACGGAGGCAGAAGTGATGATGATGATGCCACACCTAGAGGTTGCTCCTCCTCCTTCTACTCTGTCTGTCTCCCTCTCTCTCTCTCTCTGCACTGTGATTCAGCATCTTTTCCTCCTTTCACCGTTACCCTGTGTCTGCAGCTTGGCCACCAGCCGAGCATCAGACTATCAGAGAGAGACAGAGCAGAGAAGAGGAACAGAGGGATGGAGAGGAGAATGTGTGACTAGTGGTATCAAGAGCCAGACATGAAGAGAGCTATCAGACATCAACAGTGATGACGAGAGGAGGGCGAGGAAAAAGGGTGGAAAGACAGAGAGAGGGAAGCAGGAAAGACAGGGAGTTAAAGTCAGAGGAAAAAAACAAGCACAGAAGAAGAGGTGAAGACAAGCTGGAAGACTTCAATGCATCATGAAGTAGTAGAAGAAGAGACAGTAACAGTAGGTTGCAATGATGGGTCTGGTATCGCTGTTGACTCATGTGACGATGATGTCACTGAGGCTCCGCCCTCTCTCTCCCTCTGACATCACGCAGAGCTCCAAGGCCGTGTCCGAGACGCCTGCCATAGCAACCGTATCTGAGGACGACGACGAAGACGAGGCCGAGCCCCCGCCGGTGATCGCCCCCCGACCAGAACACACCAAATCAGTAAGGATACACACACACACACACTCTTTCTGTTCTTGTCAGGACCCTCACTGATATCATGCATTTCCTAACCCCTTAACCACCACAGCTAAATACCTACCCCTAAACCTTGACACCAAGTTTTAACCTACAAACAGTCCTCACAGAGCTGAAATTTCTTCACTAGTAATACAAGCTCACACACACACACACACACACACACACACTACTGCTGCTTAGTACGAGGCCGAGACACCTGTTAACACACTATCCTATTTTAAGCTTCATATCATTTTAATAACAACAACAAACAAATTTTTAGAGGAAATTTTAAGTGCATTCTCTTGAATGCACTTAAAATTGTCATAAAAAGGAGCTTCTCAGTGGAGTGTTCATCTCATGGAGTCCCCAGAACTGTCGGGTCTGAAAACACCTCAAGTTGAGTGAAATGTGAGAACAAAGGTGCACAGGAGGTGCGGATGGGAAACAATAACACAAGTGCTGATACTTAAATTGTAATTATCAGTCCAACCAAGAAAGGTATTTAGTGTGAAAATTTCTCTAGTTGCGACACAAGCCATGGGTGAGGCTCTTTCCGATGTAACTGAGCCTGTGGTGTAAAAGAAATGTCTAGTGGCACAGCAGAAAGCAACATCAACTTAGAGCTATTATTGCAGCCGCAGGTATTGTTTGAACCAAGAATTGCTGTACTTGTTTGACTGAGATCCAAACTTTTGAGTTGGGTAAAGGCCAAAATAAATGGGGCACAAACTGGACACATCTCGTAAAAGGAGTGGGGGGTTTTCACCTGCTACACAGACTCCATCTTTGTAGCGTGTGGTTACTGCTAGCTTCACTGTGTGCATATTGGGTTTTGCAGGGTGAATGCAGTAGGTTATGAAGGGTTTGGAAGCACAGGCGATATTAACTGCCACTGAATTAAGAAACTGCATTGTTTTAACCACAGGATGCATTGATTCTATTAAATTACTGTATTTTAATGTGAAATTTAAAAACACCCACAAGCTTGCTTTGTTGTGTGGCAATGCCTCTGATACAGTGAGGTGGTTAAAAGTCATTTTTAAACAGAGAGTACTAATTTTTTAACACACTTCTATGTAGTTTTTATCTGTTGGAGGGCCATGTAGCCACACAAAGGGAAAAACCAGCAGGTTGGAGTTGCTAGCTATCAACAAAGTCACGTAGCAAAGTCACACAGTGATAGGCATTTCTAGAAACAACAGGCCTTAATACCCACACTTCCCCTAGAAATACCCACTTGCACTTGGTTGTGCTTGTTCTTGTTTAGGCTAGTGGTGTCCCAAAACAGAACTGAGGTAGTGGAAGTGGTTTCCAACACTTAAAACCCACCCTAGATTCCAAGGGAGCCCCAACCACTTTCAACGAAGTGGAAGATGAAATTATCTCGCAAACGAGGGCACTCAATACCAAGTGGAAGATATAAGGGGTAGAAATGGGATTGGGCCTTAGTCTGTTGCAGGCCGACAGACTTCATCGTGGCTCAAAAACTGACACCATAAAAATGTTTGGTCTCATTTTGAACCAGAGCATCTGCAGATTAATTCCATAACCAATATGTTATAAATTAGGCACAATATGAGATAAAAACCCAGTTTTGTTAGCTTCACTGCCATCAATCAATCAATCAATTTTATTTATAAAGCCCAATATCACAAATCACAATTTGCCTCACAGGGCTTTACAGCATACAACATCCCTCTGTCCTTATGACCCTCACAGCTGATCAGGAAAAACTCCCCAAAAAAACCCTTTAACAGAGAAAAAAAACGGTAGAAACCTCAGGAAGAGCAACTGAGGAGGGATCCCTCTTCCAGGACGGACAGACGTGCAATAGATGTCGTACAGAACAGATCAGCATAATAAATTAACAGTAATCCATATGACACAATGAGACAGAGAGAGAGAGAGATGCAGGTAATGACAGTAGCTTACAACAACATTATTGAAAGTAATAATATTATAGTTATAGTTCTGGCTACTGTGGTACAATATGTTGAAAGTATGTATTAATATCTGACAGTATACATGTGTGACAATAGTCATATGTGTATAATAACAGTAGAAGTATGACTAATGACTAATGATGGCAGCAGCAGCAGGAGGCATCTGGCAGGACCACGGCAGCAGCACAACCACACACGTCACGCTGTCCAGGCACCGCTGTGATATGAGTTAATCTGAGAGACAGTGGAGCACAAAGGCTCCGGAGAAGAAGC